CCCTAATGGAGGCCGCACACACCCGAACCCAGGAGGTAGACCCAATCATTCTGCAGAAGGTGGTTCTTAAAGAGACAGAGGCCAATTTCAAGGCGTTTAGAAGAGGAAGTGATGAGAAGATAAGTTTATTTTCTATTTAAACATAAAACAGCATTTTAATAACAACTAAAGATGACATAGATACTTTATTATGGTATAGTATTTAAATATACAACTGAAAAACACATAATATTGCCACTTTAAAACAAAGCAGTTAGGACCTGAAAATAAGGATATACAGTGTGAGTCAAAAGTCTCCGGACACAGGAAAATGACATATCTGAATACTCCAGCAAGTAATGGGTGAGGTGGCCTATTTTTTAGGCTATGTCCAGAACATGGCCTCTATACTGGATCAAAATAAAAGAATGTCCTGTGACTTTTGACTCACCCTGTATTTCAGAGATTATTTAAATTAATTAAATGTGGTATGTTGATTTTGCTGGTCTTCTGAAATTCTGTCATATAGCACTAAAAGTCAGGAGCAGAGTGGTTTTAATTGTTTTTCCTTCAGCTGCTTCCTTCTTCAGGGGTAGTCACAGTAACTGAACTTGCATAAAAGATTACAACAGCCCTTCCTGACACTACCTTGGTTCAAACCTGCATGCCTCAGGATTACAGGACTGCAACACTGAACCTGCAAGCTGCCGCAGGCCCCTCTCAGCAACGCTTGCAGTAATAATTGATTTCTCACCAGTGAGTGCACAAGCCATCATAAAATAGGAGCGTATTTAGCACATTTCCTCGTCTGAAGGTGTTTTTTCCCCCACAGCTCTACAAACCTCCTCTGTGATGTGGACCCAATTGTGCAGCAGAGCCACCAGTGTGTAGTAGAGCAGCAGAAGAACCAGAGGGTTGATGAAGTCGGGCCAGCAGACGTGCGGGTGCAGACCCAGACGGTGTGGGTGTGAAGGGCTGGTTCTGACCACTCCTGTCATACCAAACAACCTGTGAAAGAGTGCAGGATGAGAGAAAAAAAACACACTCACTCAGTAATATTTGTCCTTGTAGAGGAATCCATCATTTTTTTAAACTAATGATCCTTCCAGATTGACCTGCAGCAACAGTAGCTGCTTATTGCTGATGATGTTAAACACCTGACTGCGCCAAACCATCAAACTGCTTTTAATTGCTTTTAAAAATAAAGCTCACACTAATAAAAAGCATTTATTTAGTTACAGCTGGCTGCTACTCATCCTCTTAGTTCTTATGGAAACAGCAGGAGGTAAGATAACACACAGTGTTGAATAAAGTACCACAAAGTGATACTTGAGTAAAAGTATCTTATCAAAAAATGACTTTGGTAAAAGTTGAAGTCTCCTTTAGGAATATTACTTGAGTAAAAGTCTAAAAGCAAAAAATGACTTTGGTAAAAGTTGAAGTCTCCTTTAGGAATATTACTTGAGTAAAAGTCTAAAAGCAAAAAATGACTTTGGTAAAAGTTGAAGTCTCCTTTAGGAATATTACTTGAGTAAAAGTCTAAAAGCAAAAAATGACTTTGGTAAAAGTTGAAGTCTCCTTTAGGAATATTACTTGAGTAAAAGTCTAAAAG